TGTACAAGGAAGCACTTCATTCAAATGATTATTAGTAGGTAGACATCAAAATGTAGGTTTCACCCTGTACAACAAATATATTCTAATTTGAAAAATTTAAGTTTCAGCTCTTTGATATTCAGATAATGGGTATTGATCGATACAGATTTGTTGATTTATTTCATTTGTTAAAAGAAATATGAAAGAAATGCTTATTAGCTCAAGGTGTAGGCTCCTTATAATTTCCCTAAGGTATTATTGCCTGTGGTTCTTGGACAAATTGTAATGGCCTCAACTTAGTAGCTATATCTCATGCTGTTTTAGGGAAAAGGGATCTATAATGAGAGCTGTTCCAAGTGCGGTCTATGAACCACCAGCATCAAGATCACCTGGGGGCTTGTTAGAAACATAGAATCTGAGTCCCCATCTCAGACAGATCAACCAAATCCAGAATCTCTAAGGTGGGGACCCAGCAATCTGTCAACAAGTTTTCTGGTGATTCTGACTCCTACTGAAGTCTCAGAAGCAATGTCCTAAACTGCGATTTGAAAGTTCTGATTTTAGGTCAGGTGTGGTGATATATATACAACTGTAACCCTTGCTACTCGGAAGGCAGAGATAGGAGGATTACAGTCTGAGGCTGGCCCAGGCAAAAACACGAGACTTCCTGAAAATCAAAGAACAGCAAAAGGGCTGGTGTGGCTCAAGTGGTATGGCACTAGGCCTTGAGTGCAATCCTACTACTGCCAAAAACAGAAAAGTGCTGGTTTAGGAATGTGAAAGGAATTACTGTTAGAATGCAGCAGTTCACCCAGTCATTTATTCAACAAGTCAACTAACATGAAGTGAACACCTACTAGGAGCAAAACCCTTCACTCTGCACTGGTAATTTTAAGATAATTAATAAGGTACCTATTGGATCTTTAATGGACATGGGCTGTTGTTTTATGTCACGGCCCCAGGGAATTATTTTGAGAGGCTCTCATCCTTACTTTCCTTACCTACTAAGCAAGTTTGCTAGTCAGGGCCACTGCCACCAGCTCAGCAACACCCAGGATGGCAGTTCATTGCGCTAAATAGGAGTGAAGTGTTCCCTGCCACTTTGATAATAAATGCCATCTCATTGTTAACATCCTTTCAGCTATTGAAATGGCTGGTATTTAATACCATTATGCCAGAACACAGCATGCATGGAATTCATGGCTTGTGGGGACAATTTATCAAACACTGGCAGTGAGCATCCCAACAGATGACCTGTAGATGCACTTGTCATGCTCTCCAGCAGTTCTTATTGGGAGGGTTACTTTCTCTGCTTTGAAACACTGTGTGGTTGGGATCTGTCAGTCATCAGTCCTCCTTACAAACCAGGGACATAAGCTGCATTTTAGAGACAAAAGTGTAGGAGCTCCTGGGGGGACCATGAAAGTGATGAAAACAAGGGTATCTACCACATGGCTTCTCTGCCAGCAGGCCATCTGCCCATCAACCAGCCCTGGGCAGGCTGCTGTCAGCTTGGAGCCAGGGGCCCCACAGCTGTTCTTCCCATGCTGAGAATAGCAACTTTGAGAAGAGATTACCAAGGAAACACATGAGGCTTGAGTGAGGGTGAGTGTGTGTGTGTGTGTGTCTGTGTGTAAGAGAGAATGCAAAAAGCCATCAGCAACTAATCCTTGAGAGTGGAAGGCAGTGATAGTGCTATAGGTCTGGAAGCATATGGAGCCTGCTTCCTAATCAGTGGAGCTATTAACAGCAAAGGTCAGTCATTTCCTTAGGCTGAAGGAAGTTTGCCCCAAGAAACTATGCAGCAAATCATAAAGATGGAGCCAGGATCAGAGGCATCTTGTTTATCCCCATGTGGTAATCCCAAGAGAGATGCTGCTTAGAGACCAGAGAGTCCACACTCTGCTGGTTTCCCTGGTTTCAAGCTTCGACAGTGCTCAGGTCCACAGCAGCCTTGTGCCATTAGTAAAGGGAAGCTAATTAACAGTGCCAGTATTTCCTTACTCTTAGCAAAGGGTGTGGAGGGTTATTCTGAATGGACAAGTCTCATACCCTTACCAGCAAAGCCCATTGGAGCTTTCTATATTTATTCTCTTCAAGAAACCTATGAGATTGGTATTTTTGCCTTACTAAGAAAACTAGGCTCAGGGAAGGCAATGAACTTGCCCAAAATTACCCAGCTTCCGAGTGCCAGAGCCAACAGTCCTACTTGGTCTTTCAGATATCAAAGCCCTTATCCACTCCACTATGCTCTGGCCCACAATCCACCCACCTTTCCTAATGGCCCTCCATTTTATTCTAGAGAGCACATCTCCTGTATCTCAGGGGAACATTGTAATTTTGTTTCTGCTTATCCTGAGGTTGAGAAGTGACTTCATACAAATTCCCTCTAGTTTCTGTTTCCTTGGGCCCTAGTTTCTAAAATGAAAATCTATATGGAAAGCACAAAGTATTTATGACTGTGCATCAAATCATGAGCATATATTCTGGTAGTCAGGTCAAACACTTGAATATTAGCAGCTCCTGATACGGTACCCTGTTGGTGTTGTTAACAGACTGCCATAAAACTAACCTAGCATAAACTTACTACCCTTTTCTTAATACTGGCAGTAAAATACAGTCCTGAAACTTCTTTTCTTATTCTATTGCTAAGATTTTGTACTTGACACTTTGTCTACCCTTTGTCAAGGGTAGAAAAGAACTATGAAGTCCATTATTTTCAAAGACATCTCCATTAGGAGTCCTCCTACCTAAGAACCCTAAGTAGTAAGACTTGTTTCACAAGAGTGATAAATGTAAGATTCCAGTAGCAGGTACCAAATTAAAATCCCAGAGGAATTCAATCTTAGCAGTTGAGGAAGCTGTATAATGGGGAACCTAGGAGATGGGATAGTCAGGCTCCTTCCTCCAGATGCAGCACAAGGGTCAACCCCTGCAGATTTTGGTTTCCATGCCGCCCGATGAGTATGTTTCTGATATTTTCATGAAGAGTTTTCATTTTATTTTTGTAAAAAGATGTTCTAATACTAATACTACTATTACTAATAAAAATAATGTATAGCCCCAGGCTCTAAATCTAATTTCCTCTCCCAAGTTCAGTTTTCAATAGAAAGACAAACACAAATGTGTTTTGTTATTAAAAAATCATGTTCATATGCGATGTTCCAAGTCCATTTTAAATTTTTGGGAGTCTTTATTAGTTAGAGTAACCACCAGCTGCTATAACCAAGCAAAAGAAATACCTCACATGCGCAGTGTCATAGCTCGATGCAACTGTACTGTTCATGTAAGAGTGTGGGTGGTTTTGGTCAGCAGTCAACTTCGTACTCTGCAGGAATTCAGAAGACCCCAGATCCTGCTGTGTTGTGGCTAAGCACCCTGCTAGCAAAAGGTGAAAAAGAGAAAGTAGAATACCGGCCTCTGATCTGCCAAAGTCTAACAGAGATACTCTTCATTCTCACTATAATTCATGGCCATCTTTATCCACCTGGTGCCACATCTTTCCAAGGAGGACTGGAAATGTAATTCCTGGCTGGATGCCCATTTCCCAGAAACCAGGCTGTACCATACAAAAGGAATGACAAATCCTAGTGCACAGTTGACCATCTCAGCCACAAGAACCCATGCTTTCTTCAGTTGTGCAGCTCAGAGATGTTTTCATCACATCAAATACTTATCATTTCAAGCTCTTCCTCAGGTCCTTTACCCCGTTCCTCCAATGGCCACTTCTGGGGACATGACTTTCTTTTTTATATATACTTTATTTTTATTATTGTTGTAGTGGGGGGGTTCATTGTGACATTAAAAATTTCTTATAATTTATCATAGTTGAATTCACCCCTTCCATCATTCTCCAGGATGTGACTTTCTTAGACAGGCCTTCTGTGCCCACCTGGGCACCCACAGAACCAGGCATGTCCTCTAGTATCATTACTTATCAGTCCAAATAATCTGATGTCCTACCTTCATTCCCATCTTCCCAGTTAGGAGTGGTTTTGTAAAAACAGTAAATTTGCCTGTCTGGTTATCGCTACATCTCTAGTGCCTAACATTATCTTACAGAAAGACTTTAAGGAAACTTTGGGGAGTAATGGATTTGTTCATATTCATGGTTGTGGTCATGGATTCCTGGGTATACACGTATGCCAAAATTTCTCAAATTGTACACTTCAAATATGTATGTCAAATTGGATCTCAGTAAACTGTTTTTATTTTATGCTGTTAAACATAAAATAAAAATAGCCAGGTACAGTGACTCATGCTTGTAATCCCAGCTGCTCAGGAAGTGGAGATTGAGGAGGTTGCAGTTCAAGGCCAGTCAGAGCAAAAAGTTAGTGAGACCTCATCTCAAATAATAAAAGCTGAGCGTGATGGTGCACAACGATCATCCCAATTATGCAGGAAACTTAAATAGGAGGATCGCCATGCAGGCCAACCGGGGGAATAAATTTGAAACCCTATCCCAAAAAATAACAAGCAAAAAGGGCTAGGGGTGTGGCCCAAGTGGTAGAGGGCCTGCCTAGCAAACGTGAGGCCCTGAGTGTCACCTCCAGTACTATCAAAAAGTGAGTAAATTTTTTTAAATGTGACATTAAGTGTACTAACCGCAAACTGAATCCCTCCATCCCCTCATTCCCAATCTTTGTGTGGCTTGTGTCTTTAAAAATACTTCATAGGAATCGCAACATGGTGGGACATCCCTGTAATCCCAGCAGTGCGAAGGCTTAGGAGAATCATGAGTTTGGGCTATAGATCGAGGACCCTGTCTCAAAAAAAGCAAAAAACCAAACACCAACAACATCAAAATCTTCATATGTGCAGAAAAATGAAGTCGTCAAATATGCGTTCATGGCACCTTTTGGAGAAATGGCATAATTCTTCTGACCCCTGTCTGAGTATGGCCTCCAGTTCAGAAGACAACTGAGTCATAGGGACAGTGTGGGCCATTTAGATCTTCCAGTCTTTGCACACACCTACATGCATACACCTACATGCTCTTAGATTTTCAAATCTGCTTTTTTCCCAGGTTCCGTGACCAAACCCATCACTGACCCCCCTGCCCAGGCGCCCAGCCACCCCCCACCGCTAAGATGGCAGAAGATGCAGACATGCGCAATGAGCTTGAGGAGATGCAGCGGCGGGCTGACCAGTTGGCGGATGAGGTGAGAGAGAGAACTGGGAATGCAGGCCAGCAAAAGATGTCGAGCTGGGTGATTTGTCTCATGCACATTCTGGGAGAAGGCTTCATCTAATGTGTCGGTTTTTTTTAAGTGACTTCAATTTTCTATATGCCTAAAGCTTCTGCAGACTAAGATGGATTGATTATAAAAACCTGTATACAAATGATTAGAGTGGCTTTTGATTTCTGGAAATCTTGAGAGGTGAAGGGTCTCTAAGAAAAGCAGTGCCTGTAGGTTTCTTGCAACTGGAGCTGGCTATATTCTGAGAGCTAATTGTTAACATTTTCAAGCTGGCTGCTAAGCACAGCTATTATTAACATTGATTATATAATTTGACAATTAAATTCTATTAAAATTAAAGGTACTACTACATCCTCAAAACTCATCACCTCCTAATTATTTTACTACAATTTACTACTACCTGTGTTCTTGAGTTTCTTACATCTATTGTATCCACGGGATGGGAATTTCATATCATGCTGCATCACACACATCTTCCCGGCTTCATGTTTACCTGGTACGAAATCACCCAGGGCAAGAATATTTACACCTGCAAGCACTACACATCAGGGCTTGATCCATTATTTTGCAGATTATCTAGAGTGAAAAAAGTTGAGAAAATATTAATAATGAAGATTAGACTTAAAAGGACGCGTGCCACACCATGATACTAAGAAGAGCACTAAAAATTGAGGCAGTCATCCATTATTTAGAAACTATGTCTTCAGTAAATACATCTCCTTCTTCATTTGAGTCAAATTCCAACATATGCCTTCACTGTTTCATTTTTCTCTTACTCATGAACATAAATGAAACTATCCAGTCAACATTCAGACACAAGAGTTAAAACAAAACAAAACAAAAAAATCCACAAAAGGTTTCCGTGAGATTCAGTTGCCTACATGGAATTTACAATAAAGAGTGCCAGATATTGTGTTATCTCTGACTTGTGTGCTACTCATCTTTTACGTCAGTAAAACAATAAACTTGGACTGTATAAATGTATTCACATATGTTTTCCAGACAGCCAGTTGTTATAAACATTTACCAGTATAACACTGCTGACCTCCATTCTATTTCAAAATGCAGTTTGCATTTTGAAATTCCTATCTTCAGGTTCCTGCAGAATCTTGCCCAAAATAAGCTTGTCACTTAAAAACGTAGCTTTGAGAAATCACATCGGGTACTGGATTCTTAGAGTGTTAAAGGAACTGAGGAAAAAAGTGACAATGTCGTGCCTGAGGGACAAGCACTGAGTTTAGACTTTCCATCACATTTTTTCTTATCTAAGGATAAAGATAATTTTTATAGCTGTCTCCTATAGGCTACTTATTTCAAACATGCCTGACTTTCTCACCCTAAGGCAACAGCTTAATTTGCAGTGATAACAACTTCCAATTGTGTTGCTAGGAGCTTTATAAGAAACTTGATGGCATATTCATCTCAATTCATGAAAAACTATGTTTGTATTGAAATTCAATATTCCTAGCCCAGGGAGGCCAAATTAGTCCTCAGAGTATGTGAGATAATTTTTCATGCATCCTGAGCATACAAAGATTGCTTTGTCTTTGATATCAAGATCAGCTTCATATGGTTTTGATTTTATGAAAATAAGCTTTTGTGTAATTGCTTAAGGGAATCTGATCATGTAGAAAGCCCAATAGAAAAGAGATTCAACGTGGAAAGACATTTTGTGTTTCGGTTGCAAATTCAAAATAATATGTGACATTATTCTTCACAAAGTGAAGAAAGTATTTGTGACGTTTTAAGTGTGGTTTCTACACTTATATTTATGTTTATCTTTCTCTCAGTCACTGGAAAGCACCCGTCGTATGCTGCAACTGGTCGAAGAGGTAAGGAGTGGCTGTATTTTAAAATAAAGAAACTAATCCCTGACCCTGACATGTTCTTTTCCTACCCCTACTGCCTTTCCCTCAGCCGAGATCCTATTGCTTTCAGTGTTAATTTAGCTATCAGGAAGCCACAAAGTGAAGGAGATGCTGTATTTAAGTTGCCAGGCAGCTGTCAAGGTCAATTCACCCTCCTCCCAGCCACCTTTATAGTCCGAGATGCAGAAAAGCATCTATTCAGATATATCCTTTTCCAAAATTGCTATATTTAGATTCAGGTGCTAAAATTTATTGAAAAATAGGAAAAATCCCTAATAAAAAAAAACAAGCCCTATGATAAAAATATAAAGCCTCTTTTATATTCGTGACTCTAGTGCACATCCATTTGTGAGGCATAGCTAATGAATCTCAAACTATTTTTAAATGCGTAAAATAGGCCAGACAGCAATAATGGAATCAAAAGAGCATTTGCAATAAACCTCACTCATTCCAACTTGGTGGAGCAGCAGTCAACCAGAAAGAATAAATGGATTAATTGAACTTGCCCATTGGGAGAGATGAAGTGGAAAAAGAATGGTTTGGACTATATTTATATTAACCTAATAAAACAAGCCTAATGGTTTTTATTCAGCAAGATGCTGTTTTAGCTACACTTTGAATGCTAGTGCTTATCTATGTATAAATTCATGTGCAATTATCGTTTTTAGAGATCTTGGGCTCTCTCTGGCAGAATGATTAAATAAGCCTACTCACCTCATGCTACTGTAAATTGCTTATGCAATGACATGAAAGGAGGGGAGGGGGGAAATAAATTTCACAAAGGTTAAATTTCTGTCACTTCAGTTTCTCACCTAGGAATGAAATATTGCTAGATGTGAATTGCCATAAGAGGAGTGAGGAGAAGGTGGCAACAGCGAGTTCCCTTAAAAATAAATCTGTATTTTTAAAATGACAATTTGAGCCCTCATTGTAACACACCTTGGCTCCCACGTGAAGGAAGTCAGCACGGGGCCTTGGACAACACCAGAGAGCAGTCTTCTATCTCTAAATGAAGAGAAATGTTTCTTTGCTGTGTTCTGGAAACATTGTTCATACAAAAATACTTGAGGGTCAAGAAGGAGGCAGATAGCTAAGAGTGTTAGTGAGGCTCTCAGCATAGACTTATTCTCCCCCACTTAACATGAGAAAAAAAAAATGAAAGGACCCAACATGAAAAGAGACTACATGAAAGGAGTTCAGAAGCCAACTAACATAATTATTTTATTATTGACTATTATATTATTATAATATATTTTATGACCTTCAACCATAGCCTCCAATCTTATTTTTCATTTTTGTCTGTTTATGCACACAAATACCAGAACTGTCACCAATTCGCCCACGTGTACAATGATGAAATGTTGCCCAGACTGTGGAAAGTAGAGGAGCAAATGCATCAGAATGCACCACCTCGAACTAGTTCTTCACTCTCCAGAGCCTTGGGGACGCAGACACTTCTTTTTCATATGCCATGCACTGTCAATCGTCTTGAAAGATCAGTGCCCGCTTAATTTCTTCTAAGATAAAAATCCCTAAAGCTCTATAGATTGAAGTAGGATTCTCAAATTATATGTTTTTGTTTCTCCTAAAGTGTTTCTCAATCAAGCACAAAGTTGCATCTTAGATCAAGAAGAGAAAACAGATGGAAGCAATCTCCTGCCTCTAATAAATAGGAGGAGACTATTAGACTTCTCATTCTTAGGAAATTGTGAGCAGGCATTATTAGAATAGATTGATTTGCTCTACTTCCTTCTGGGTTATTTTATATTTATGGGCAAACACCCCTGAAGTGTGGGGCATTGGCTATTCAAATGATGTTCTGCTTTTCAATCAAAAAGGAAATTCTCTTTAAAGAGAATCAGCATTAAATATTCATCAAGGGCAGAAACCAATTGGAAAAATCTGAGCTTTGAAATACCAGAATCTTGCCCATGATCCCAAAGTTCATCAATGCCACATAATTTGAATTCAACTGAATCCTTATTGAAATTTAGTCTCAAAGACAGGAAAGGTTACTAAAATTGGGAAGTCTCCCTGAGGCAAACAATCTCACTTTCAGTGGAATATACAACTTCACAACATCCCTAATAGACTCCAGAGTATAACAACATGGCAGGGGGTGGGGACTGATTTTTTTTAACAGAAGTCATGATCAGCATTTTAAGGATGATGTAAAGTTACACAGAGGTCAGTGGAGAAAGCCAAGAAAAGCAGAATCCCACAGTCAGATAAGATGGTTAGAGATCATATAGCACTCAATTCCCTGCATGGAGTTAAGAACTTGCTTTTATTTATTTGCATTTCAACAAATACTTATGAAATGCCTAACTCTGGGGATAGAAAAGAAGATATAAATTGATAAATTACAGGGAAACATAAATAGCTCTCCAAATTCAAGGTCATACCTGCTTTGGGAGCAAAATAGAGGGAATAATTGATTCTGGTAGGAGACTCAACAAGGTATTCTCAAGGACAGATTATTTGATTTTAGGCAAAAAAGTTAACTCTGCTAATGCTAAATGCAGATACAAAGTCTATACATGAATGCTTTGGGGTAGGAAACCTAAGCCCAGGATAAGCCATATTGCTTTAGGGCAGACAAATTTGAACATTATTGGACCACTAACATTTCATGTATGTGTTAGCATCTTTTCTTTTTATGCCAATTTATCTTTCAAAGCACAATAAGCATTCTATACTTTTGTGTTATGCCAGACTTTCTGCTCAAAGTGAATAAAATTAAGTTGGGCAATTCTTTTCAGATAAGCAGATGTGGGGACTTTGGAATTCAAGAGTGCCAGGATGTCCTCCCTTTAGGTCAAAAGTATTGGACAAATAAATTTTTAAAAAGAATGAAAAAGAGCAAAATCTCTCCTGTCTCCAGTTCTCCTGTTTTTAGGTAGGCTGTTCTCCCAGCAATCTCAGCAACCAAGACTTGAGCTGAGGTAAAAATAGAACCACCTCCTCTCACTCTTCAAGGAATAAGAGAAAGTAATATTCTGCTTCCCTTGAAATATTTTCCCTTCCCTGTCCTTCCTCTGAGCTTCTAGGTCTCACCAAAGAAAGCCCTGTTATTTTGATAGAAGTCATCAGCAAAAGAGTGAAACCAAATATAAGTTCTAAAATTGATTGAGAACCTGCTGTGTGCCAGTTACTGGGCTTAGAGCTATCAGCAGCACCAACATCATCAAATACATGCTATCTAGTTTAATGCTTATAGCCATATTTTACTACTGCCTTGATCTCCATTTTACCATGGAGGAATTTGAGGTCCACAGGGGTTAGGTAACTTGCTTGAGTCGCATAGCTAGAAGTGGCAGCGATGACATTAAAATCCAGACCTACCTGATTTCAGAGAGTGAATTCTTACACACAACATTTAACTTCCATTCCACCACAACTCCTACACTTTTCTTTTTTCTTTGAGAATACCATAACGGGGAAAAGTACCTAAGGGGACAAGGCTGCTTGTTCTAAAGATTCTACTCAAATTAAATCCTGCATCTTACTGTATTCTTTCCCAAATTGTAGGTCAGCCTCCCCTAGAGATGAACTCACTTTTTGAGGTTTCTACTTTCTGATGCTCCTTTCATTCTCATAGTGACTGTGGGAAGTGAGGGAGCTCTTACTGTCCTACTTGACTGCTGGTCAAGTTGAGGCATGGAACAGTTGATTTTAGAGCAAAGATAAGTTTAGAGTTTAGAACTGTAAATTCTGTTCACTGGCCAGATTGTCTGTCAAACTGAGATGCGCCATTGAGAAGCCAGGCATTTGTCTACCCTTTATTCTTGTGCCTGGGGCAGAATAGAAGTTCAATAGACACTTATTGAATAAATAAATGAATTAGTAAATAAGTAAAGTAATAAATGAATTAGTTAAGCCAGGTGCCAGTGGCTCATGCCTGTAAACTTACCTATTCCAGGAGGCAGAAATCAAGAGGATGGCAGTTCGTGGCCAGCCTGGACAAAATAGTTTACAAGACCCTATCTCAAAAATACCCAACACAAAAAAGGGCTGGCAGAGTGACTCAACTGGTAGAGCACTTGCTTGGCAAGCATGAGGCTCTGAGTTCAAGTCCCAGTACTGCCAATAAATAAATAAATAAAAATGAATGAAATAATAAGAAAATGGAGGAAGGAGTGGGCAAGGAAGTGAGTGAACAAACCTGTCAACCACACCGTCTCACTTGGCATCTTATCTTCAATAAGGAGTAACATCCTGAAAGGTCACATGACTTTTCCATAGTCTCACAAGTAGCCAGTGGCTAAGCTAAGAGCATAACCAAATTTTCCTGATTCCCAAGTCAGAGCTCTCTACTCCTGTCCTCCAAAATTGGAATGACCTCAAACACTCTTTGTCCTTCATATTAATTCTGTGAATCATTTTAGTGCTGAAACATGCAGCACTAAACTAGATAAATATGAAATTATTCTTGCAGGTCTTCATATTATATAAATGTGCATAACAGAATATAAAGATGTATAAATACATAAGAGCTGGACTGACCAAACCCTAATCACCAGCCTTTTCTCCATGCACTATCCCAGTAAAATGGAGCAGACTTCAAGTGTGGCCTTGGTTGGGTACTCAAGGAGAAAATGTTCTCTGAAATATGTCTGACCTCACAAAAACCTGCACTGTCATACCCATGTACCTGAAGAAATCACCTGCTTTTCACAATTTTGTCATATAAGCTAGGCTAAAATATGTAGAAAAGGGCAAGAAATCTTTAAAATACAGGTGGTATAGACAAAATTCCATTTATCACACATTTGAGGACTTTGAAATGTCTTTTGTGGTCTAAAACCTCCTTACTTAGTGTGTGTCCTTGCACCACTAGTATCTTCAGAAGGCTTATTAGAAATGCAGGACCTCAGGCTCTATCCCAGTCCTGTAGACTCAGAATCAGAGTTTTAGCAAGATAATTCATATGTGGAGGATTAAAATTTGAAAAGTAGTGGTCTAGATGCTTCTGATGGTAGAAGGTACTGATGGTATTTTTAATTTGCCTAGATATCCTGCTGTTGATACATTTTATGAATGTATTTGTTTTGTGAACACTGTGCCATCCTACCTATAGGTTAGGCTCCAGTCTATCTCATTTCATGTATTAATTTATTGAATTCACATAAGAACTTAATCTATTACTATTGCTGTATTGCAAATGAGTGAACTGAGGCACAGAGCAATTGGGACACTTTGGCTGAGGTCCTGCTGCTAAGGAAATGAAATCACTAGGATTCCACTCTAAAATCTGGCTCAAGAACCGGTGTTCTCCATGGCTGCTCCTGAGGTCATCCTAGGCCATCACTGTCCATGCTGCCCCCTGGCCAAAAAAACCTGTCAAAGCATGTTCAAAAGCAATGTAAGCTTTTGTGTCCTGCAGAGTTCACTGCATGAATTCTCTAAAATAGTGAGACTATAATAGTTCACAGAAATCATTTGCAGTGATTTATTTTTTAGAAACATGACTGGCATTTAATTTTTTGGCCTTTAATAATACCTCTCTCTTTGTTTTTCAGTTCTAAGTAAATCAGTAAAAAATAAATGGTGTTATGAGAGATGTCTTATTCAAAATTTATTCTATGAGTTTTCATGAGCTTTCCCTGCAAAATCAATTAGTCAAACTGTAACTGATGCCAATCTGTGCTTGTTAATGGTGGTCCTATAAAATGGAAAATCTTAATTGGTTCAAATTCCTAGAAATAGAGACTATCTAGAATGAGTACTATGAATAACTTCATTCATTCTTACTTACCCTTCAACTTCCACTTCCCTCCTCCCAAAAATCCAGGCGGTCTTAGTTCATTTGGATAACAAGGAATGAGATGAGAAGTGCCCTTTAAAGACTTCTGCACAAAAGAACTGCAGTAAGCTTGTAGAGGAGTTATTTTTTCACACTAAATCATTATGTGAATGTTAGATTTCAGAACAAAGAGTTCTTATTTCTGATTTCATCCCCTTTTCTACATCTTGGAGAATTTCTCTCCTTTGAGAGAAAATGAGAGAATGAGTTTCTTTTGGAACTGTGTTTCTTAACATTTGAGAAGCCATGCTCTCTTCTGATGAACCTAAGCAGATCACTCCCAAGACTTCTACAAGCCTTCTCTATGGGTCATTCCTCCCCAGATCACTAATGGGAACTTTCTGATAGATCGTGTTAAAGAAGGAAATTCAATGCAAAAGATTTTGAAAGATTTGCTTTCTGTGGTTGGTGTTATGAAAACTATAGGTATTTTTTCCAGATATAAAATTATAGCCTGTGTATTCCAGTGTATACTTAATCTATTGGAAGCCCCAGTCCTACCCTATGGAAATTGTGCCCCATTCCTCCTTCTGCCCCTGAGAATCACTAAAAAAGAAAATGTACAAATTACCCATTCCTCTAAGTCCCTCCCCCAATCCCTTAATGCTCTTGTCATATTTCCTCCCTTTTTTTCTTTTGGTCCTTCTTCATTTTCCATATCTAGGGCTAATCGTCCCCTTACTGATTTCTGTTTCTCTCTTTTCTCTCTCTAACTTCTTTTCAACTTTGCTACCATTATTGGAATGTAGAGTAAAGATGCTGGTATCAGGACTTTGGTTATGTTGGATGAACAAGGAGGTAAGTTCAGATTTCTTCAGTAAGAACAATTCTTCGTCTGAATAAAGTTGCATTTTTAAATTCTTTGTGCATCTACAGGTGGCCATTTGGCATGTGTTATACATGTATATGAGTGCAAGGATTCTAGACTTTTCATCTTGCTATTTTTCTTTTTCTGTTGAAAAGGTCGCTAAGCATATGAAAATATTGAGACATTCTTCTTGACTAAATGAATAGTACTACTATCTTGATATGTATGTTGGGGTAACACAATTTTGAAGGCAAAACCCATATGTTTGTATTTTTTAAAAGCTAGTAGTTTGGACAATGCTGAAAATTCTCCTTATAACAAAACTTTCCAAACTAATTGGATCCTTCCAGTAATACCTAGATGGAATGAGAGTACAGTATTGTCCTCTTCTGTTAACTATCCTAATTCTGTATCTGGAAGTTTTGATTTTCAGGTCACTGTGGAGAGTCTTTAAATAACTGGAAGCTGTTTTTAACAGGATGTAAGCAAAGGGGATTCATCTGGAATATACAAAATTGAACCAAATGAAATTTTTGGCCTGTTTTTAAAATCATTATGGAAAGGCTAGAAGCAATAAAACTTAGAGAGCTAGAATTTTAGTATAGGCTCTCTATATTCTGAGGTGGTAACTAGAAGGGTAATGCTATATTTCTTTATCTCAATATATCTAGCCATTTGGCGATGTTGTACAAAATTCTAGCTTCAAGTTAGTTAACTGAAATTATCATAATTATTAGATTTTCAAGAAGTTTTAATAGTTTGTGAAACATTAGAAAATATTACAGGATTATGAGTGGTTTTTTAGTGGCTAATATGAAAATATCAAACTTATTCATGGTGTACACACAATAAACTCCAAGCCTGAATGTCAAACTGGGAGCAAAATTGCCATACAGATAGCAGGCATAAAATACTTCTCCTAAACTACAGAAAGCCCTTGCAAATCATCAAAGAAAAATGCAATAAACTAAAAGAAAAATGGACATAAGGTATAAATCATTAGTTTACAATTAGACATCTGAAACATTACTTCAACTATGAGTAATAAAAAGATACCAGTCCTTATCTAGCAAATGAACATAAACTTTTAAGATTGATAATTACCAGTGTTATGAGTATGTTGGGAAGACAAAATTGTCATTCTACAGATGGGTACTACAGACTGATCCAAATGTCTTGAAGAGGAATTTGATAATATTTTCCAAGCTTTGAAGTACACCTATCTTTCACCAAGACATTTTACTCCTTGATTCTGACACTGAAGATGTACATTTAGAGTTATATGAAGAAAAACGAACATGCTTTGCTTATACTTGTGTAAGACTAGAAACAACCAAAATTCTGTCAATGGGGAGATCAACCAAATCAATTATGATATGGCCATAAATGAAGCATTCTGCAAAAATGCAATAAATGAGATAAATCCTTGCATGCTGACTTCTGGGAAGTTGGGCTGGGAGAAGGAAGGCAATGGAAAGAAGAATATCATTTAGGGAACTTTTGAGAAACAAACACTAAGAAGTAATTAGAAGTGTAAGGGATTTATTGGGAATGTCTCTGATGGGTCAAGGGAAAAGGGAGGAAACAGAAGTAGGTAAGGAGAGACTTCAGACCTTGATGTAAATCTGATACCTATAAAAGAAACTGGAAAGGGAAGGAGAAATGGATGGAAAGAATTCCAGACCACAGTGCTACTGGGAATGTCTCATCCAGGCCAACGAAGAGCAAAGATTGCCCATTAGAAGAGCTCCATGTTGGGCAGGAATGGTTCAACTCTGGTAGCCTCCCCGTATTTACACATTGACTTGAGGCATCTTGGGTAAAACAAAACCTTAATGTGGACGCTGTGGCAATTCACAGGTGCAAATTGAACTACATTCCTACTAGACAGATTCCCTCTTGAAAGAAGCCCTGAGGGTACACCCCCATGGCTATCATAAAAGGAATTTTGTTTTTACCTTATTTACTTGTGTTAAACTTTTTCAATAAAGATATACCAAATAATCAAAAAAATTAAGAAAATTTTTGGAAAAACAATTTAATGTCAACCCTATGCATTTCCTCCCAATGTTCAAAATGCATTTGCCAAAATTTACCCACAAATAAGAATCTAGCTAAGTTCTGTTTTGAAGGTACTATAATAACAGTGCCAGTCTTCAGAACTCCCCAAATGGATTTGCTATATTTATAACATTTGCTGGCTTGAACTGTGTAACAATATCCCAGGCTTTGAAACTCAAGATGCAACATGTCATTCTTTAAAAAAAAGAAGAGAGAGAAAGAAAATAAAAGAAGCTAAACAGAAGGGGCCCATATAGAAGAGTGGCACCTCATTTCCAGAATAAAATTAAAACACACACATTCAAATTATTAGCAGTCCCATCTTACTAACTCTTTCAATGGGTAATAGGCACTGTGAAGAGAGTGGGAAAAGGAGCTTTGCAACCGAGGGAAGGCTTGGGAGAGATTCCAGATAATACTTTTCCTTTTAACTATAAAGCATTGACATAAAGGCATGGAAATTAATATATACAGACTTGGGATCAAAAGAAAGTGGGGCCATGGATGTAGCTCAGTGGTAAAGCTTAACCTGCTTAACATTCACAAGGTCCCTGGGTTTGATCCCCAGCACCACAAATTGGGAGGAAAAAAAAAAAAGGGAGGTGGGGGGAGGAGGGGATCAAAGGGAATAAACTAAACACACTCACTTGAATTGCAAGTGTCCTTCCTTATACTTTAAAGAAGAAAATCTAGAGATATAATTTGCCAAAATCCCCATACAAATGAAAAAAACCATAATTTTTAAGCACAAATGATTCCCAAGAGCAGGTGTATATTATTCTCTGTGAAACAAAACAGAGCAGGATATTTGTTTGACAGGTTTCTTAACAAGATAGCAAATGTTTCAACTAACTCATATTCAATTGCCAGAATAAATGCTGAATTCCTCCCTTAAGTGTATTTCCTAACACAGCCTGGGTTTTGCCAGATGTGTGGTAAATAGGCTGATAGTAGTGAAAAATCTGCAACCTACCTGCAACCTCCAAAAGTGGGTGATTTCTGCTTTGTCTTATAAGGTACACATTCCACTTTTACTATAATAGAAGGTTAGAGCCTTTTAAGTGTCAGATGAGGATAAGTCAGCAATTGTTTTTACTGCCTTCATAAATGCATTTTAATTCTGCATGTGCCATGTTTACTTGTTTAGATCAGTAACTGCTTTGCAATTTCTCTTCAGTTGTGCTGCACTAAATATGTCTGTGTCTAAATACCAAAAATGTTGACTGTTTCTACCTCAACAGCTGCTCAGGAGCCTGAAGAAATAGCCATCCTTCTAAAGAACCATTCCACCCTCTGTCAGGTCAGGCCAGACCATTACAGGTTGTCCAGCGGAACAATTGTACTGGAAAATTTCTTATGAGATTCTTGTTTTATACCCAGGTATCAGGAGACACCATGGAGCATTGAGCATCACAAACAGCCATGGAAATTTTTATTCCCCTAAAAATCTTGTCTTCCAGGGAAATTCCCTTGAATAACCTTGGCACTAACATTGAATGACCTAACCTTTTGCCTCTGTTTCTCTTGTTGTTGGTCTTTGTTGGGTTGAGTTGTGGCTCTTTGAAAACTCCTCTGGGATGAATTCCAAGGTAAACAGTGAAATCTCTGACCACCACTGCCTGGAAGAGGAAAGACAAATTCAGATTCCATCCAGACAGTCAGTCAACTGTCTTAAATGGTTCCTGACACTACAGGGCAGCATTTGAGAAAATATTCCTCTTGTTAACTAACATCCACTTGCCAAATATCAGTTATAAATGACCAAGGCTTCACTCTCCAATATGGTAGCTGCTGGTCATATGTGGCTATTTAACTTTATTTAAATTAATTTCTGTATGTTCATCAATGCCAAGGAAAGTGAAAATCATATAGGCAGTATCTGGGAACTTGATATATTCATGAAGGCTTGCACACTAGGTCAATAACATCAAAGTCGTGCCATCTTATTGTGCTTTGTTTTTTTAACTAAGTTGAAGATTCTAAGGATTCAGTATTGTTTTACTGTCTTTACTTTAGATAAGATTAGTAGAAAAGATGTCTAAACAGATCCCTGAGGATCTGATAGATCAGTGAATCTATCAGAAATAACCATTCATTCAAATATCTTGGCAAAAGAAAGTCCAAGCTCTTACCCTAACATGCAGTGTTAAATACAGGAATACTCTCTTGACCAAAATGTTCTCTCAGACTCCAAAAATAAACAGAAAGCAAGCTTAGGAAAGGAAGAAGCAATCAATGCTGGACAGTACATTGTATCAGCCTTGCAAATGTTGCTGTCCACCCAAGAATGAAATGAAGACTCTGGTTGCTTTCAAGCATTTCCTGAGAAGTCTTTATAAAAATCATGCAAAGGCTATTAAGTCCCAATATACTAAATATACTCACAAACATAACTCAGTACCCTCTAAAATTTAATATAATTGTTAAAATACCTTTGACAAAATGGTTTTACCCTAATTTTTGAATTAAGGGTTTGACTTAGAATTTGGACAGAAACACATTCAACTACACTCTAAAGAATGTGGGTGTAGGGCTGGGAGCATGGCTCAAGCGGTAGAGCAACAGCCTAACAAGTGCAAAGTCCTGACTTCAAACTGCAGTACAACCAAAAAAAAAAAAAAAGGTAGATTTCTACTTGCTTGTTTGTTTTTACCTTTTCTTCAGAGGTACATCACTTATGGACCAATTATCTTCTAATCTCTGGAGACACAGAGGTTGAGGGTTTCAGAAATCTTGTCAGAGACTTAATATTTTGGTTTTAAATTTGTCAAGAAGGACAAATTCCTGAATATACATCCTTCTGCCACATGCTTCACTTATAGCTTAGACACTTCCTTCAGTTCATCCCAACCCAGCACTCCTGGAAGCCACTAGCAATTATTTAATTGAGATTTGGCATTCCTATTTCTGTCTGTACCCATGATGATTCACTTGATGACATTGAGCTCTTTGCTCCCTATGAACCCTATCACTGTAGTTTTTCATTTGACCTACAAACTAGTATGTTGCATTCTTAAATGGAAGCTGGAATGAAATCTTTAGAAGAGACAAAACATCAAGCTAACTGTGGTGGCTTAGAGTTGTAATTAGATAATCAGGAGACTGAGGTAGGAGAATCATTAAGTTTAAAGCTTGTTTGGGCTTCATAGTGTGACCTTGTCAAAAAGAAATGGAAGGAAGGAAGGAAAGAAGGAATGAAGGAAGGAAGGAAGGAAAAAAATCTTTAGATTTTCTTAAAGACATGACTGTACCTGTATTTATTCAGCAAAAGTTCTTCAGCCCTATATTATTGTTTCCTTCAGGTATCTAATGCTGGAAATTTTGTTTATTAATGCTGAAATTTTGTTTTCAACAGTCATTTTTAAAGCATAGCAGATATAACAGATTGCTAATAACCTGAATTCTGTTTTCCACCCCACAAAAGAGAGCACAAATAAGCTCTTTCTTATTTTCCAAATTCATAGTCTCCCTAGTTTGAGTCACTAGTGAACCTATCTCATGTCTTGCAGTGACAATTTCTACTGTACAATTTAATGTGAAATTGTTTTCAAGTGATTATTTATGCCCTTAGGCTGAAAATGTACTCTATCAGTTTTATTGTTAGTATGCCTTTATTCCTGGAGGCATAGGCATGCATGCATGAAAATATAGATGAAAAGACAAATGGCAATATAATTAGGTCTTATAATTAGACACCCAGTTATCTCATTGCCTTTCTCCTTTAATGAACTTAAAAGCTGTTTTAAAATTCCTTCATTGAAATTGTAGTTACTCCATTTTGGTGACATGACTTTTGAAAAATTAATCAAGTTGGTATATGTGACCCTGACAACCTAGAAGTATGATTCATTTTTATGACTATTGATCTATGTCTTAGATACATTAAGGTCCATTTTGCAAACATCAATGGCACAGCACTGTCCTACGTTCCAATCCATCGCGCCTCCTCCAAATAGACAATCATTGTCCCTGCTATTTGCCTGAGGTTGGTATTTTCCATGCCCTGCATTGTAGACACCAGGAAATCAAGGCCCAGAGGAGTGAAATGCCTTCCAGTGCTTTTGTAGCAAGTAAGTCATAGGATGAGAGAGGAGTTGAAATGTCCTGGTACTTTTAGTATTCCTTTTCTGATGTTACTTACTTTTCTAGCTTCTATGATTAAATACAGAAAACCAAGAACAGATCATCATTGGCTACCTTTGGCTACACAAGCACCGCTAAGGGAAGACAAATGAAAAATGACACAAACCCATTGCTAATTATTGCTGTTGTTGTTTTTCCCCAAAGAAGAAAATGGATTCTATTTTCTACTTTTATCTGGCTGAGGATACCTAAAAACCAAAAGATTTAGGTGTTTTGAAGTTGAAGCAGATACTTTCGCTAGTAGCCTTAAATGAAAGTGCCTTAAACATAAACTAACACTCTGTTTTTCTTTCTCTTCGGATCCACTGGTATCTGAGTAATGAATATGCTGGCTGTTTCTCTGGATACTCAGAATCAAAACAGTGCTTCTGACCCCATCCCATCATGTTCAAACTATGAACTGTTTGAGCATCGTTCTTGTTCATTTCCTTCCACCTGTACCTGCTTAGGGCAGCAGCAGTCTACAATGCATCCTCTTAAACAATGCATTGTAATATCGCTCTCTTTCAAATTTCTTTTCACATAGTCATTTCTCATGTTCTGTTGGAAACCCCAAAAAAATTCATTCCACACTATCATCCCTTTGTCCTAACCAGAACAACTCGATCGTGTTGAAGAAGGCATGAACCATATCAACCAAGACATGAAGGAGGCCGAGAAAAATTTAAAAGATTTAGGGAAATGCTGTGGCCTTTTCATATGTCCTTGTAACAAGTAGGTACTGGGTACCAGCTCTAATCTGTGGCGTCCAGTTTTCTTTCTTTCTTTCTTTTCTTTTCTTTTTTTTTCTTTTTTTTTTAATGTCAAAGTGAATGTCTGAAGTTTTGTCTTTTTTTTCTTTGTCCTTTTCCATCTGCTTCATTCTGTGGGGATAAAATACTTGTGTTTAATCAGAACAACTGGAACGCATTGAGGAAGGGATGGACCAAATCAATAAGGACATGAAAGAAGCAGAAAAGAATTTGACGGACCTAGGAAAATTCTGCGGGCTTTGTGTGTGTCCCTGTAACAAGTAGGTGCTGCCTGCCTGCCTGAAGCTTTGGTTTCCCAAGGCCCATCTCCAAGCCTTGACCAGCTCATTCCTGCAGGCTCATAGGCAGGATGAGCATGCAGCATGCAGAACGGATCAATACCGTCTCCAGTGCATTCATCTCATAGCATAGATGATATTAGTGGGAGTTACTGTTGATGCATTAAAAATCAGGCATACTACAGTGAAAGCTTCACTGTCAGCAACTTTTATTGATGAACGTTTCAACATTTTCCAGAAAGTGTACTTTGAGACAGAAGTACCCAGGGGTCTTTATTTTCCCCAACCCCCAAGAACCAAAATTACAGATTTAGAAAAGGCTGTGGGTAAGTTTGCAGGATGAGAAACACTTATCTCAAGGTTTGATCTTTCAGAAGTAAAAGGGACAGGTAATTTGACCCAAGCAAGCATTCTGTAAGTTAAAGACTATGACAAAGACTCTGTCTTTTTACTGTATATCTGTTCCTGAATTTGGTCATGAGCTACTGCAGTGGTAGCCAATGTGTTCTTCAGCTCAAGTCTAACTCAAATTGGACTCAGCCCTCTCAAATTCTTCTCCTTGGAAGATCTACTTGTACACTGGCTGAAATGTTGAAATGTGTAGATTTTGCATGCACAACATCACAAAACATTCAAGTGTTCTCAAGGTTCTGCAACGCTTCTTTTGGAATGTAGCAGAAATGTGACATGTGGTTATAAAGGTTTGCAACAGAAGGAACCTGAAACCAAGGGTTCTGGAAGGTAGTCTCATTTGACTAGCCGTGAAAAAAAAAATGCATGAGTGGCTTGCCCAACATGCATTTGGAAAATTAAACTCATACCCAATCTCCCTCACCCCTCCCTCTTCCCCTTTTAAAAAGAAGCCTTTTTTCCTAAAAGTTTTCCTGATCCCAGCTTTTAGAATAGTAATTGATGTCATTTTTAACAGATTATATGACCATTCACATTCTTTAAACTTTGAGGCTAATTTAAAATATCCCACTTCCTGCTTAGGAGGGGGAGGGGCTCAATTTACCAATAAATTAAAAGCATGTTTTTGAAAGAATGATCGACAGTAAAGCCTGACTAACTGGAATCTAACTAACTGGAACTCTCAACTGTATACTTTGCCCCTCTTTCATTTTTTAAGCACAAACAAACAAAATAACAAGGAGAAAAATGTATTCCAGATCTAAAGTGATTTTTCTTCCAGGGCATCTGAGTAATATGCATTGTCTCACTCAGCCTCCATCCTCTTATAATCACTATATAAAAAACAAACAACAAAAATAGTAAAAATTGATCTTGAAAGAAAAGCCATCAAACACCAAAAACTGGAAAGATTTCACCATACCCACTACCCAAAGACTCTCAGTCAGAAAATTGACTCAACAACTTATTTGATAAAGATATTCACCAATTGCCCTTGAAGCAAAATTTTCCTCCACAATCCATGAACAATTTATATAATTCACCAAAATGACTCATTACCAAACATTCCAGTTAGTCAAGATTTGACTGTATGTCTTTTTTCAGTGGCAACTTGCCCCCATGTGAGATCGCCATCCATTTTGTGGTAAATTCCAACAGATACATCCCCCCTTCATCAACTGTGTGTGAAGAAAGGGTGGTGGCAGGCCCCTCTGGGGTGGTTTCTAAGGTTTTGATGAAACATGACCTCTATAAATTCCACATATAAGTGATGACTAATTCCCTAATACACAAGAGACCCTTGTGAGCTTCAAAGCTTGACTGAACTGTTCCCCATTGTGTGTAAATAATGCTTTAAAAACCATGTGTCACAACGCAGTGGCTGGTGGTGCCCTGGATTATCTGAGGGCTTTGCCCTGTCTCAGCATGTTTTGAAGGACTATGATAGATGTACGGCAGTGATGTGAGTCTATGTGCAGCATTGTGGGTGCAGTGGTTTGCCTTCTTCTGGAAACGCATATTTCCCTCTCCTTGACTTTGCCAAAGATGGTATACCAGACATTTTACATAGCAGAAAACATCACAAAGTCCATTGACTTCTAATCTAAGAAGGGAGGAGATAAGGAGTTCAGGGAGGGGGGAAAGCCAGATCCTAAATGCTACTAAAATTAGTTTGGGAATCTTGTCCCATTGAGTGGGCCCATAGAGCCTTTTGGTGCAGTAAATTCTGACTGCTCAAAGGGCTGTGACATTATGAAAACTGTGGAATGAGTTGCTGAAATTCCATTGGGGCAATTTTCCTCTGCGTGGCTATGGTTGCTTGGTCCTTAATCTTCAAGGATTAGAGCCAGTTTTAATATACGACTATGGTCCTCTAGTGAAAGAAAAAATTTAAATTCTGATGTTTTATAATAAAAAATATAAAAATTGGACCAAAGGGTGTCTCTTGTTTTGGACTAAAAAGCACGTGGTTTCTACTATGCAAAGAACCTAAAAACATCTTTGATGGCTTTAAATTACAACATATCCACCAAAATATGCTGCATATGTTTCTATTGGGCACAACAGGTATGCCTGGATTTTAAGTTTTTCTCCAAGGCAGCTCAGTGACATACAGCCCATGGAGACCACACCAATACCAAACTACTCTCTCCTGTAACCACCCCAGGATAGTTTGAAGTAGGAATTTGTAAGCACTCTCTGCCCTGCCCTTCTGCCCAACAAAGAAGCTCCTGAACTGCGTTTCAAATCCTCATGAAGGCTATTACTGTCCTGCTAGTGCCTTTTTTGAGAATGGTCAACTTCTGAAGTACTTTGGCTTAAATGAGAATGCTTCACTTTCTACTCATGCCTGTAGCTGGTGCATGAAGAAGACATAGAGGGGTTTCCCTGGTGCTAGATGGCTTGTTCTCTCTTCTGTTTTCCTGCATTCATTTCACTATGCTTCTTTTACTTTTTGTCTCTGTGGACAAAGGTTTGTACATCGACTATGGATGTATGGTGACTGTTTGGAAGTACCGATATATTATCTAATTCAAATCACTTTGGAGGCAACTCAAAGACCATCACTCTTGGCCAACCACCAATTTTTAATGTCCTTCATAAAATGTTAGAAATGTTAGTTCCATACATGCATTGGAGGGCGGAAATATTAAACAGGGATCTTTGCATGAGGGTGTGTAAAAGTCAACTATGTTTTTCAGGATGACACTGTATTGCTGTGGTGTGATGTACACAGTCTTCTTGGCAGTCTTGTTTTGTGTCTGTCTGCCAGTATGTTTTTCCGTTTTGTGTCTCAAAATATAACCATATCACTGAAATAGAACTGAATGTTCTCCAGCTACTGTAATCCTTATCTTAAATCCAATTAAACCACAAAACAAGCCAGTTTCTAGTCTTGACCATTGCAATTGACTCAATTGGAAAAGAAATTCTGAGTAGCTGAGGCTTGGTGGTGGCCAACTGTTTGGGTCCAGATTATGATATATCGGTATTCTCTAATGCCTCAACTTAAAATTCATTCGCTTGGTTCGGTTCTTCGCTTGAGGAAGTGATGATTGCTGTGAGCTTGCTGCTCCACCCTGTACCTTGTCACTCACCCTCTTTTTTACATAGGCTTAAATCAAGTGATGCTTACAAAAAAGCCTGGGGCAATAATCAGGATGGAGTGGTGGCCAGCCAGCCTGCCCGTGTGGTGGATGAACGGGAGCAGATGGCCATCAGTGGTGGCTTCATCCGCAGGTGAGTTTCATGCAGCCCACACTCTAGCAGCTCTCTATTGTTCGATAAACAACCACCCCACCATTTAATTACTCATAGCCTATGTGTTAGCTGGGAATTCCTCCACAAGCCTTTCCAGGGCTCACTCATGGGACTACATGCAACTAGGGGTGGCATGATCCAAGATGGCCTCATTCACTTGTCTAGTGGTTGGCCTAGGCAATCAGTGGGATACCTCTGTCTTTCCCCATGTGATCTTCCAGCAGGATAGCCCAGATATCTGACATGATTGCAACATACCAAAGGGACAAGGTCCACTGCACAAGCATCTACCAAACAATGGATTGTGTCATATATGCAAGAGTTTTATTAAACAAAATAAATCACATGACCACATCCAGAATCAGTGGGTCTGGCAACAAGCATCTTAGAACATGAGTTGATAATTCAGCAAAGCTTATTAAAAGAGTGTTTATAGTGTGCAGGGTTAATAGCAATGTGACCACTGATACGGTCATAGTGGTCAGCCCCTCAGTGTGCACAGCAAAGAAGGTCAAAGAATGGATTTGGGTTGAAAGTACAGAATGATGAGCTTCTCATTAATCACTATTTTTGAGATCTAGGAGTTAAAAAAAAAAAAGTATCTGTTTTTAAAACCTCAAATTACTTAAGTCACCCAATGCAGAACTCAGCTCTGAAGACACCTTAAAACAGAATAACTAAATATTTCCCACAAAGAGCAAAATATGTGTTTCATTTTGTAGAAACTGCAACAGGATTCAATAGAGGTGAAGGTAGTTGCCTCATGACTGTTCCCAGGCAATTGTAGCTGTTGTGGGCCAAGCAGAACCCCTGTGATTCACACGATGGACCATGTTGGTGTGGTGTAGCATCTAGACATGTACCACAGCCTCACAGATGACAATTCAGTTCTTGCCTTTCTCTGCTCCCACAGAAACTAGACCAATGGTTCTCAAGCCGATAGCTGCACATTAGAATCAAATGTCTTAAAAAAAAAAAAAAACAGTGCCCAATCTACACCAATTGAATCAGAATCTCTTATGGGGCACAAGTATCTACATCTTTTTTTTTTTTTTTGGCACACTGGTTTTTTTTGTTTGTTTTAGTCTTTTTATTTTCTTTTATTCATATGTGCATACAATGTTTGGGTCATTTCTCCCCCCTTCCCCCACACCCCCTCCCTTTACCCCACCCCTTCCCTCTCCCCTGCTACTGCCTCACTACCTGGCAGAAACTATTTTGCCCTTATCTCTAATTTTGTTGAAGAGAGAGTATAAGCAATTATAAGAAGGACCAAGGGTTTTTACTAGTTGAGATAAGGATAGCTATACAGGGAGTTGACTTACATTGATTTCCTGTGCATGTGTGTTACCTTCTAGGTTAATTCTTTTTGATCTAACCTTTTCTCTAGTTCCTGGTCCCCTTCTCCTATTGGCCTCTGTCACTTTAAAGTTTCTGCATTAGTTCCTTTGCCTTGAGGACATCAAATGCTATCTTGTTTTTTTTTTGGGGGGGGGGTTCTTGCCTATCCTCATACCTCCCTTGTGTGCTCTAGCCTCATCATGTGCTCAAAGTCCAATCCCCTTGTTGTGTTTGCCTTTTATCTAAAGTCCACATATGAGGGAGAACATACGATTTTTGGTCTTTTGGGCCAGGCTAACCTCACTCAGAATGATGTTCTCCAGTTCCATCCATTTCCCTGCAAATGATAAGATTTCATTCTTCTTCGTGGCTGAGTAGTATTCCATTGTATATAAATACCACATTTTTTTAATCCATTCGTCAGTGGTGGGGCATCTTGGCTGTTTCCATAACTTGGCTATTGTGAATAGTGCTGCAATAAACATGGGTGTGCAAGTGCCTCTGGAGTAACCTGTGTCACATTCCTTTGGGTATATTCCTAGGAGTGGGATTGCTGGATCATACGGCAGGTCTATGTTTAGATTTTTAAGAAGCCTCCGAATTTTTTTCCGGAGTGGTTATACTAGTTTGCATTCCCACCAGCAGTGAATTAAGGTTCCTTTTTCCCCACATCCTTGCCAACACCTGTTGTGGTGGTGTTTTTAATGATGGCTATCTAACAGGGGTGAGGTGGAATCTTAGTATTGGCACACAGTTTTAAACTCAGGGTCTCGTGCTTGCTAGCCAGCTGCTTTATCACTTGAGTCATGCACCCAGCCCCATCTGTGTCTTTTAAAGCTCCTCAGATAATTCCAGTAAGCAATAAGGGCTGGGCACCATTGAACTAGAAGCACATCTTTGGGGTGAATTTTTAAAGAAGTTTCTTCCCTACATGAGAAAGTGAAGAAGTACTCCCTTATTTGTTGAATTTTCTCTAGCCTGGGCTGTTTTAGAAATCAAAATGGTCTGTGTTGGAGTTGCCAAGAGGAAGGATTTTAATCCCTCCAAACATTTTTTAGCCTATTGCAATAAGTGCTAGGGACATTCTAAGCACTTGCTGTTTGCTAGAAAGTACTTTCTTAACCTTCAAGTTGATGGATGGAAAAATGGGAAAGCCCTTTGTGAGTCAACTCCTGCCTCCCCACTCCCACCCCTTTCAAAATGAAGCAATAATCTTTTTTCAGTTTTCTATTCTGAAATCACTCATTCATAATGCCACTGAAAAAAAAAGATAGCATTAAAATATCAGCAAATAAAAATCAGCTTTGAAAAGTAGCTCCCTTTGGAGTTGTTGGGAGAAAGCAGATTTAAGAGGCAGACTATAATTATCACTACTCTCCTCATTCATGCTGGTCCCAAGTGGGAACAGAGATGAGCAGAGAGCTTCTCAGTTGAACATAATAATTTTTTCTTTCATTCTCAATTTGAGTCTTGGAGATTTTGGTTCAGGAAGAAAAAACAGTTTCTACCTTCATTCTCTGACCTCGAGTCCCTTAAACTACAGTGATTTTATCCTTTAAAAAATTTAGATTGGAAAAAAATTAAATTGGGATAAACATATATAAGATTATTTTCTTGTGTACCAAAGCTAAAACATGCTCTTTTATTGAAATGAGATGAAAGGGATCCCTATAGTTCTGCAGATTTTCCCTTCATTTTGGGTCATTCGCGTTCTAGTTTCTTCCTCTCTCTTCTGAAAATGATTCTCTGTCTCTCAGGGTAACAAATGATGCCCGAGAAAATGAAATGGATGAAAACCTGGAGCAGGTGAGCGGCATCATTGGAAACCTCCGTCACATGGCCCTGGATATGGGCAATGAGATTGACACACAGAATCGCCAGATCGATAGGATCATGGAGAAGGTGAGTATGTGGCAGTGTTCAGAACTAACAGTCAGGAAACATGAAGGGCGTAACAAGACCCTCAAACCCTGACACTGGATTCAAGCACACTAACTGATGAATATTTTGCCCTAAATTTCCTAAGACAAAAACGCATAATTCAGCAGCAGAACTGGAGTGAAGATTAGAATGTACTTGGGTTTGGCAGTGGTGATGGGGATCAAACACAGGATCTCTGGTATTTGAGGCAAGTGCTTTACCACTGAGCTACACTCCTAGCCCAAGAATGTAGAATTTAATATGGCAGGTATTTCTCAAAGTCTCCTTCATATCAGGCATTGTGCTAGGCCCTGGGGACATAAAAAGAAAAAAAAAAACCCACCACTTCCACTGCAAGAAATTCATAGCCTGTGGGAGGCAATGAGTCGCCAGATGAATTTAGTACCACACAAAATATAACCCACTTAGAGAACCACAGATACATGCTAGACAGGATTAGAGGAGAAAAGATTTCAAGGGGCAGGGCTTAGCAAAAATCTCAAAAAAAAGAAAAGTTGCATTTAAGTTGAGTCTTGAAGGTTGGTTTGTCAAGTACAGATGGTGAAGAAACCAAATTGGGAAATGGAGGAAAGAATAAATTTAGCCAGAAGGTGAACAAAGTTCACGTTCACCAAATACCAAAGTTTTAGTGATAGTTTGAATAGATCCAGGTTCCATTTCCAATCCAGCAGTTCACATCCCCAAATCGCAAAATAGGAAACATATCTGGTGAAACCAAGTTCAGACCAGGATACCAGACTTGGCTCTAAGACACCCCCTCAAGTCAACAAGGGCTATAAGGAAGACTGAAGAGCGTAGAATAGAAAGAGTTGGGTTTGGGGGCTTAAATTAAGGAAGACTGTAGGCTGGATATGGTTGCTAACTGCTATAATCCCTCCCTTGAGAGGCCTAGCTCAGAAAAATCTCAGTTCAAGGCCATCCCAGACAAAAAGTAAGTGAGGTACCATCTCAAGCAACAGGCCAGTTGTGGTAGTGCACACCTGTGATTCCTATTACATGAGAGGCATAGGTAGGAGGATTGAAGTCTGAGGCTGGCCCCAGGAAAAAACAGGAGACCCTACCTAAAAAATAACCTAAAGCAAAAAGGGGCAGTGTTGTAGCTCAAGAGGCCCTGAGTTTTTTGTTTTGTTTTGTTTTTCTTATTCATTTATTCATATGTGCATACAAAAAACACCTGAACACCCTCAAAAAAAAAAAAAGATGAAGAAAGAAAGGAACTGTAGACTGTGGCACCAAAGAGATTTAGGCCACCAAATATCTGATATTCTATACCATGCAAATCTGACATATTTCCTGTATTCTATACCTTCCCCGTTTCATAAAGTATTAAATGTTGATAATAATTCTTTAAAAGTCCAATTGCCAAAAGCAAGAAATAGACATAGATAGTATAGGTTTAATGATTATTGTACAGCTGTAATTTCTCTCTGGCTCATCTTATGTTGTCTGTTTACTCCCTGTGAGATATTGAGGTTCTTAGTCTGAGATCTTGAATTTCTTTATAACAATTCATTCCACTACCATGAGCAGAGGAGGATACTTTTGAGATCTCTTAAGTCACAAAGCTCACCAGCGGTTTCCTGGTGCCCAATCATCCTCCAGTGACTTGAAGTGGAAGGAATAAACATAAAGGAAATACATTGCTCTATTGTGCTGCATATGCTCCATACAAAAACATCTGATCACATAACATTTTGTTTGATCAGTATTGAGCTGCACAAATGTCAGATTTGACTGGCAAAACGCCTGTGCTTCGCTTACTTTTGCAAGTTATGTCTGACATGCCTGTCATTGTAAAGAAGCTTTTGATGTGATCAAGCTTTTAAAGCTGTGAAAGCCGATGGATTTTAGAATAATATTGAGAATTTCAAAAGGCATTGGAGCCAACCCAAACTGACCTAAGCCATTATGGCCCAGGAAAAAAAATGGACTAAGTAATCATTGCAGAATGGCTTTAACAGAAAATGATTTGAGAAAACAGCAAGTACTAGTTTTCTATTAATGGGACCCAATTTACTCAGATGCAAGCAGATAATGCATCAAAGTCAATTAGGATTCTAGAAGGAGAGGTTTTACTAACAGTGGGGTCAAACTTTTATTCATAGAGTTTTTTGGACTTTAAGGAAGAAGTATTCCTGGAAAGGCAAGTGGTATCTTGACTCTGCCACTTTTGCTTTTCTACTTTTCATCTTTAGGAAGAATCTGTTATTCTAATCCCAGTGTACAACACAGACAGAGACAGACACATCTATAAAGTTTAATCAATGGCCAGGAAAGGGGCTGGGAAATAGCTGTCCGGTTGCTATCATTCCTTGGCTGCTGAATCATTTAAGCAGTGGGAAGGAGCCTTGTTGCTTTTGAATAATTAAGTCCAGTCAACACTTTAAATAGCACATACATCCCTCCCATTTGTTTTCAGGATCAAAATCTGAACATGATTTAGATGGAGCTCATTTCAACCCAGCCTGGCCCCAAATGATTACAATTTTTTATTTATACAATCTGAAGAAAAAAGCACAATTATTAATAGACATACACCTTCTCAGGGAAGTTCTGATCTCTAATAACATGTTCAAAAATCTCCTGCACAGCTAAGATTTAATTAAAATCACACAATAGGAGCAAGGAGAATATTGTGATGGTTCTCCCATCTTCTCTCATGACCCCAACAACAACCTTCACCCAAGTCCATCGATAGCGATCTTTTCTTATCACTTGGATTGATACTGAAGTTTTGGGAGTCCAAAATGATGATATTTCAATATATCCCCATGGACTTTTAAGAAATTTCCTTGTGTATTTGACAACCTTGTTTTCCACTTAAAGGTGTTCATATGTACACTCTTCTAAGGTTAAAGGTGTACAATTGTTCACAATACTACTAAGTTGGAAGCAAGTTTTTATCAGAGGCCTTATGAAAACTGTTGCTAAGGAAACACCAGTGATTTTCAAACTTCAATTTAAAGTTGTCAGTGGTAGGTGACAGGCACACATTGAGAAACAGTGAGGCAGACTCCTTAGTAGTTCTCACATTCTTCTATCAGTGAGGAAACACGGTGCTTGACAACAAAGACCTCAGGTTCTAACAGGATTTTGCTGTTCATCCTCTCTGACCCGGTACCCTCATCTGAAGGATAAGAGAACAGTTTAAACCTGGAATCAGAATAGATTGCTGTGTGGGGTGGGACGTATCCAGTTCTGAAAGTCTGAGCAGGGCCTGAACACCACTGGACATAGTCTAAAGGTGAGGAGATTCCCAGAGTGTTCAGAAAGGTGTGCTGAACAGCTCCTTCTAACACATACTGGCTCCCTGTGGCCATCCTGATTTCTCACAAGGGCAAATCAGATAGCAAAGTTGGATATGTCAGCTAGCTTAGGAATCTCTAAATAGAAATGTAAAACCTGGGATTATTAGCCTCCTTAAATGAAATTCTCAGGCATATAAACAGGATGAACATAGAGGCATTCTCCAGATACCAGGAAGATACCTAACAGGATATTCTGTCAGAATTTCTTTCTAAAAGGCACTACTTCTTTTATATAATGTAAGAAAAATGTAGTACCTTTTATATCAGGCATTGTATGGACTGGGATTTTAGTATACTTCAGAAAGAATTTAGGTGGAAATCACAGATGCCCATTGAACAAAGGTCTATTCCAGCTCCTCCTGCATCCTTTGAATCTATCCAAAAATTAACCTCATACTTTGCTTGTGCCACCATGCAAAGGCTTGTCAGGGCATTTGTACACAAGAGTTTCTACGTTTCCTTTCAGAAATGCCATTTATTTTTAAATGGATTATTTTTCTCACTTGAGCTTTTCTCAAAGTTCAGTCTGGAAACACAGTCAACATAATGTAACCTACAAGAACATTTCAAATTGGTCTGAGCTAGTAATTTTCCTTTGCACCAATGTATCATTATTTCTGATACAATTTGTAGCTGGAAGGGGAGGAATTAAGAACTAAATAAAATTGGAAGGACTATTTGTTTTCCAAATGAAGAGCCTGTGATCAAAAATATGTGTCTACAGTTCAGATAAAGGAAAATCAGTGCCCTATCTTGTGATGTAAATTCTTGTTTGGAAAGCCAACTCTTGATTAGCCAAACAGATGGCAGAGAACCATGGCCAGATAATTCAAAGTTACGAATAACCTAGAAATATGTTCAACTTTGCAAATTTCTATTTGAATAGAGATAATTCTAGTGTCCTGGGAATTTACAATTCAAATTGAATAAAGAGGACCCAACTCAGTAGAGACTGGAACACACAAGCATGGTAGTAGGTGCCAAATGATTACTATCATTGAGTGATAATGGCTGATAGAAAAGTAGTTTGATTTCCTTACCCTTCTGGCAGCTTTCTCCTCTGCCCAGGCTTTAGAGTTACAGACAACATTACCAGTCAGGATAGGACAAAACAACAGCCTAGAGATGAATTGTAATCTTCACCTCTACTTGATGACTCATCTTTCTCAGTGGTGATGGGAATAATTAATTTTCTGGGATTTAAAGATCAACCTGGTAGCATCCCTGAGTTTCATCTGCATATACAGCAAAATGTAACCCAAGCAGTGAAGAGATCAACCAAGAGACAAAAGGAAGTTAGGTACAAAATTATGGTAACTATGCCCCTATTGAAGACAAGCCAGTTTGATAACTGGAAGTGAGTCTTCAGAAATGGAACTGAAAAACTAGTAAGCATCTCAAAAGCAACCTAATGATAGTAATTTCAAGATAAGATACATCAGCACTTAATTTCTGCAAAATGCTGTTCCAAGCACATTATATCTAAACTCAATCCTCACAGCAAACCTATGCAGTGGAGTGATTAGAAGTGTGGGCTCTAACTCCAGGCTACTCCCATTCTAACTGGACTTTCCCCCATGTACTAAGACATTAGACAAATTGCTTCAATCCTGTCTGCCTTTTTTCCTTACTCAGAAAAAGGAACTGATAATCGTACATACCTGATAGCTGATGTTATCAAAGCTGAACGAGGAAAACATAGTAGATACTCATGCTTTATTGTCCCTCTATTGTAGACAAAAAAAATCTGAAACCCTGAAGTGTAATTTTCTGGAAGTGACACTGCTAATAAGTTAACCATGATTTGAACCCATCTGTATGAGTGGTGGTAACTCAACTCCGTCCTACAGATGTGAATGATGTCATTGAATGTCCTAGAATACAAGGATAAATTATATAGCCCCAACCACTAAAGGATGCTTTCCAATAAGGAAAACAGTTAAAAACCAAAATCAAGCTTCTGCAATCATATCCAAGTAGAGCTATTGCAGTTGTTAAAGGAACATGAAGAAAATGGTGATTGATTCTGAACCTGGACCCTGAAAGATGAGTGGAACTTTAAGGTGATCATCTGATATCTGTTTTCTTTCCCTTTTTTATAGGCTGATTCCAACAAAACCAGAATTGATGAAGCCAACCAACGTGCAACAAAGATGCTGGGCAGTGGTTAAATGTGCATACTTGTGTTCTCCTCTGAACGCTGCTGGGCAAGATAGCTCCTTCATGCTTTTCCCATGGTATTACCTAGTAGGTCTTGCACACTCACACACACATCAGTCCACCTCCATCATGAATGTTGTCCTGTGTCATCTGTCAGCTTCCTGCAATACTATGTATCTTTTGTTCTCTCTGGGTCTCTTTCTTTCCAAAGGTTGTATATAGTAGTCATTTGGTGGCTCTAACTCTTTACATAAGATGTCTTGTGTTTCATTTCTCCATTTCTTTCTCAGTAGTGTTTGCTGAATGACAATTTAGGAATGCTCAATGTGCTGTTGATTCTTTCAATACACAGTATTGTTCTCGTAAAACTGTGACATTCCACAGAGCTATTGCCACAGTCCTTTTGGGTGTCAGGCTCTGAATCTCTCAAAATATGCAGTCTTTGGTTCCTCATGGCTGTTATCTGTCTTTATGATTTCATAATTAGACAATGTGGAATTACATAACAGGCATTGCACTAAAAGTGATGTGATTTATGCATTTATGCATGAGAACTAAATAGATTTTTAGATTCCTACTTAAACAAAAACTTTCCATGACAGTAGCATACTGACGAGACAATGCACACACAACAGCAACAACAACAACAAAACAACAAAGCATGCTCAGTTGCTCAGTAATGATTGAGACACTGTCAAGATTAAGTTATACCAGCAAAACCTGCTAGTGTCACTTTCTGTCAACATATAGACTTATTAATCATAATCATCTTTTTAAAAAAAAAGAATTTTAAAAAACATGATTTGACCTACTTACCATTTATTCATTTCCAGCAAAATATATGTTTGGCTGAAACTATGTGAAACAGATGTAATATAGGGTTTGTTTGCTGCTTTTGAAGGCTGTGTTTTGGAGACAATGATCTTGCTGTGAAACAGTGTGGAGATGTAAATTTTATAAGGCTAACTCTTGTTGATTACCATTTCCCCTGTGGTTTGTTATCAGTACAGTTCTTTGTTGCTTAATCTAGAGCTATGCACACCAAATTGCTGAGATGTTTAGTAGCTGATAAAGAAACCTTTAGAAAATAATATAAATGAATGAAATATAGACAAACTGTGAGATAAATATCACTACAGCATGTAATATTAAATTCCTCCTGTCTCCTCTGTCAGTTTGTGAAGTGATTGACATTTTGTAGCTAGTTTAAAATTATTAAAAATTATAGACCCGAGGTATCTGTTTTAGTTTTTTCATGGACCCATCTGTTTTTACACTTACAGCAGAAGATGAAGCCTGTCTACTCTGTTCCATTTGCTCCTAATAAGCCAGTTGTATATGACAAGGACACTGGTTGGAAAAACCAAAGATGTCCCTTTTAAACATAATTCCAATGGTAGCTGACACCTTGGCTTGATTTTCACAATTTGTTCTAGAAATACTTGTGTGTGAATTCAATGTTAGCTATGGGACAAAATATAATTTTCTAGCACACATACACAAAACAATCCATGGTGGAGGGTGGGGGAATCTGTGGTACTCAGACTCAGGTATAACAGGTGTCAATCAACTCCTTTCTTCTTTCCTCTCCTCCAAGTCCCCACCAACCAAAGTTCAGTCCTTCATTACTACCACCACCACTATTACCCCGCTTTTCTTGTTTTTGGATCTACTATCAAATTCATCCATTTAGCTGGGGTGTAGCTCAGTGGTAGAGCACTTGCCAAACATGCTTAAGGTCCCAATTTCTTTCCCAAGCACTGAAAACTAATATCACCCATTTAAATATACAATCCAATGGGTTTTCTTTAGTATATTCACAATTTATGACAATCTAATTTTAGAACATCTTAAGCGCCCACAAAAGAAATCCCCTATCTATTCACAGTCACTTCCATCTCATTCCACCCCACTATAGGCAGCAACTAATTTAGTAGCTTAGTAATTGTCTCTACAGATTTTCCTGTCCTGAACATTTCATATAAAGAGTCATACAGTGGTCTTTTCTGATCAACATATTTCACTTATAATGTTTTTTCAAGATTCATCCATCTTGTGTATGTATCAGTACTTCGGTCCCTTTTATGACCAAAAAATATTCTATTGTATGGATATACCACATTTATTTCTCTATTCAACCATTTATGGACATCTGGGTTGTTTCTGCTTTGGGTTATTCTAAGTATGCTGCATGAACATTCATGTATAAGTTTTTGTGTGGAGAAATTTTTTCAATTCTTTACCAGCACCAATACCTCCACCACCACCTTGACTAATAACTACCTTCACCTTTTCTACTCCCTGTACTACTTCTCTACTATGTTAACTAGCACTTCCACTATCTCTATCTTTATCAGACTATGTTACAATCAACATAATCACCTCCATCACCACTGTCACAACCATCACCACCACTACCTATATTGATTCATTGCCTCTACCACCACCTTCAACATCATTGTCAGCACCACCACCATCCCCACCATCATTTCCATCACCTTTTCCACCCTCACTACCTCTCTCCATATTTCCACAACAGCAATGCAGATAAATTTATCCTTGTTGCCTTGGTTGACTGTCAGGTAATTTTAGTCATAATGATTTTACCCATTTCTGGAGATTTGGTGAAAGCCATGAAGAAACAAGAATAGTGATGATGAACTCATCCTTTTCAATAAATGTTTGCAGTTCTTTAACCTCTTCCCAACCCTCTAAAGAGGTTCTGTAGGTCCCCAGGTATTCAGAGAATCTATCTAAGGAACAACAGTAAGAACACATTTACTTCTTAAATTATGATAATAGAGAGGATGCTAGAAGACAAAATGAATATGTCCTGCCTATGTCAAAGTTGACATGGGCTCAGTGTATGTGCCATGGTAGAGAATTCTATTCCAAATTCCATCTGTTCTCAGTCAGATGAGTGGATGTGTTTCCACATTGCTTGAGAAATTCAAAGTGTACACTGGATACATGAAATGTAGCATCAGGCATTTTGCTTTAAAGTCTATCACATAATTCACTGTGAAGCATATTTCCTTTAATGATTGCATTTGTCCAGATTCAGCTCTTACGCAGTCATCTCCTTTCTGGTAAAGGAGGATGGATTCCCCAGAGATTAATCATCTCCTGGTAATGTGCCAACCCGGGAAGTGTATTAGAACTGCAATGATTAGGGCAAGAGAGAACACTATAAAAGCTATTTCTTCTACCTTTCCCATATATGGCACTGGCAAAAGAAGCCTTCTATAAAAGACCACCAGAATTTGAATGGTGGTCCCAGATTCTAGTAACATAGTCCTTTCTTCTTATCCTCTTGTCAATTTCTAGTTCCTGTTATCCTTCTTTTACATTCTCCCCTAGCATCAGCTTTGACCAACTTTTCAATTTTTTGTCACAGTTCATTAGCAAATTGATTCCACTGGATATTAAAGAGAAAACAATTCCTATTCTGTGATCACCAAGTACATGCCAGGCACTGTGTAAATGTCCTTACTTCCGATGACTCATTAAGCCTTCTTAAAAACTGTACAATGGGTAAAATTGGCATCATTAGTCCCCTTTTACAGATATAAGAACATTGATAGTTTATTTGAACAAGATCTCTCAGCTAATAAGCAACAAAGTCATGATTCAAACCACGTCTGTGTTTAAAGTTACAGAGAGGCCCAGAAGATACATTCCAAGACTCTTTCAATTCAGCTGGTGAGAAACTCCAGGAGATATTTGGGTCTACTGCATTGATAGAAGTGCTGACCTTCTGAGAACTCATCTTTCATTCACTCACTCTTTCATGAAATGTTTGTTTACAGAACTATTATATGCCAGGCCCTCATTTAAATATTGTGAATATAACAGTAAGAGAGGTAGAAAACAAACAAAAAATTGGGGAAAACTCCCTTCATTCCTTAAAGTTTAATGCCTTCAGAAGCATACTTCAACCAAGGGTAGATGGGGACAGGTGAGTGGACACCCTTTTTCCTGATCCTGGTTGGGATAACTTTGAGGTATGTGTTCTACATTGTCTCCCAGAAGTCACCAGTTGTTGAGTCAATCACCAGTTGCTTACATGATAATGTTGGAATTAATAACCCTCCGGTGCCAAAAACAGACACACGAGACAGAAAATCTTGACAAGACAATTTTCTCTTGATCAAGAGGGTGCAAGCATGTACTCACTCCCGCTAAGCCACACGCCAGCACAAAATGGCTGACAGTGGCTCCTCCTTATATCCCTGATGCAGTTGTACCTGCTCCTCACCTGGGATTTGTCCAGGTCAAAGGTTCACAATCTTTCTGATTGGCTAAAAGGCTTGGGGGATGGGTTAGGGCATGCAGTTTGTTGGGCATTGGAGTTGTACAGGAATCCGGAAGAGGAAGCAAGGACCCTTTAAACATGCAAGTCACTTAAGACGGCAACCTGAGGAATTTTTAAGTAATCTAAGAGGGTAACAAATACTTTGATAGAAAAGATCATTTTTCTTACAATAACTTACCTGATAATTATCAGTTTCTTTATTGGCTGCCTTCTCCATCTCTTTCCCTATCTATGCTTCCTAGAATCCTTTCTCAAATTACTCACCTGAAATCCTTATTTCAGTATCCACTTCTGAAGAAGTCCTATCTAAGGCAACACTTTCCTGAGATTCATGCCAGCTACTGAACATCTCTCTCAAAATACTGCCATAGAGAAATATGCTGCCTTCCACCTACTTTCTAGCCTTCTTTGGACTCATCCTTCTTTGACGAAATGCCCCTTAATGCACTTAATGGCCTGCATTTAAAGTTAGCATTCCTTAGAAGTAAGCAAGCAAGGAGCCACATGCCTGATCTCGTTGCCCTTCATTCATGACATCCTGCCTTTGCCCCTCAGGCTCTACTATACCCTTCCCGAACTAGGGTATATTAAAAGACAATATGGTCCACCCACAAGGTTATAAACGAGAGAGTAGCCTGTAAATACTGGTTGAAAGAGAATTCAACCAGGAATCTTCAGTCTTCCCCAAGCCTCAGTCTATGTGTGTAGCAAATGTCTAGAATAATGGTTGCCCTACCTGTTTCACAAGATAGTTGGGAACAGCAACTAGCATAACATTTCCTCAAATGCCTTGCAAAATTTACTGCCACCAGCATGACAAAGAGACAGGAAACACAGCCAGCACCATCAGGGGTGGAAACAGACATTCTTTGCCACCTCTAATGAAAGCATTCACTCATCACATGTGTGTGCATACGATGTACTCACCAAACTTCACTTCAGTTTAAATACACTAATTTTCATATGGAAGGTATTCCATGCCTTTGAAATAAACAACACAAGTATCTCCATTTCCCTAATTGTAGCAGTTGGTGTGTTAAATTTTTCACCATCAAAGATTCATCAGAGCATGGTGTGGTAGTACAGGACTTGGGAGGTTGAGGCAGGAAGATCTAGAGTTTGGGCTACATGGTGAAACCCTGTTTCAAAAAGCAAACAAGCAAACAAACAAAAAATTCAGCCAGTCCCTGACTTTTGCCCAAAGGCCATAAAAGTCAAGAGCATTAATACTGCTTTCTCCAACATTCATGTCCACAAAATAGGAATGATTTTCCTAGATGTTACTGTTGAGAACCAAGTGGTGCTACACTCTACAGTTGTATCCAAATATTTCCTATTGTTAATATTTTTTGCCAATACTATTAATGACAAGGAAAACCTAGCAACAGATCCAAGGAATATAGTGAAGACTAAGAACTCTGTTAACAGTTACTGTTGCATAACACATTGCCCCAAACACAGCATCTTAAAATAATAAATATTTATGTAGATGACAGTTCTGCAGTTTGGCATTTTGGACTAAGCCTGGCTGACAGTTCTGATTCTGGCTGTGCTCTTCATATAATTGTGGTTAGCTGTGGCCCAGGGCCACATGTGGTCTCTCTTCAGCAGGCCAACTAGGGTTTGTTCACATGGCAGAATCAGGAGTCCAAGAAAGAGTGTGGAAGCATGCAAGTCATCTTGATGTTTAGGCTCCTCACTTGTACCATATTTGATCAGGGAAAGCAAGTCAAATACCAGTCCATGTACAGGAGACAAGGAAGTAGATGCTACCTCTTCTTAAGAAAAGCTTCTAAGTCATACACAAAGGGTATGTATACAGAGAGGTGAAGAAAGTGACTTTCTTTGCCATCAGTCTACAAACCTTCAAGTGGCATGTGGAAGCAAGACACAGTGGCTCACGCCTGTAATCCTGGCTAC